AGATCATCATTAATAAGTTCATTCACATTCTAACTGAATTTATAAAAGTGTTATCCACATCCCCAGATCAATAAACCATGGCCTCGCCTTTTTTCCTTCTTTGTCTTTTGCCCCCACACTCATTTGGTTTTGTGCAGTCAGAACCACAATGTCACATTTCAGACACCAGCTCTTGCAGCTCAGCAGTCTCTTTCCTTGCTCTGGGACTGCAGGAAATAGAGTTTGAAAAAGTCAGCATGACTCACACTGTCTTTATTGTTATCCCAGTGATGAATACTTAAGAGGGGGACCCTGCCCTTTGTTCATAGGTCCCCATGCCCCAGGGTTGCCCTGTTGACCCTGGGCAAATCTGCCACAAGGCCACTCAGGGCATCTGTCTCACACATGCCCCAACTTTCCACAGTGGAAGCACCTTACTCTTTGGCCTATCCTCTGAGGCCTTCCGGCCCACCCCCTGGCTGTGCTTATATCAGCTGGGGGATGACGATGGCAGGCACTGAAGATGGAGGGGGTCCGGCTGGCTCAACAGGAGTCACAGGCACAGGCACCTTTGTCTTCCATCTTTCTTCAGCTGGGGAACAAAGCACCCCTTCACATTGGTGTGACATTGGATGAACAAAATGGGGGAGTTTGGGTGTAGCTCCCCCTTGGTCATAACTCACCTCAGCTTCTGGCTTTGGTCTGGGGATGGGCACCCGTGTAGTACCGGATGGAGCAAAGCCGAGCACCTCACTGCACTCATGGTCTGTCTTTATCTCTCCTTCCTGTACAAACTTCACAATCTGATTATGCATCTCATTTAAATGTCTGGGATTTTGACAAGAAAGCTTTAATGCTTTTACATATATGTCACGCAAATCAGTTATTTCATCTTCCAGCTGCTCCAACCTGGCAGCCTCCACCAGTTCATCAGCTGATTCTCTACCATACTGGACTGTTTTTTCACTCATCATTCCAGCATGACTACTAAATAATTGCAAGACAGCGAGTTGTCTTTCATGTTTGCAAACACGCTTTGCAGATTTATCTTTAGCCTTATGATTAATTAGCAGCATTTTCATCTCAGCACACAAATGTTTATCGAATGTTCCATCTGAGGGCCAGAATACCGACAAGTGTCACGTTCTCCTGTGCCACTTTTGAGATAAATCATAAATTTCCTCCACCAGCAACGGATTTTTATTCCCAATCACTATGACTGGAGACGTGTTTATCCTTTCAGACGCCATGACTCCTTCTTATGCAGTTATGTCTTTCACAGTACACCTATGTTTGACTATGATCAACTAAATTGGAGGAATGCATAAATGTAAGACGTGCAACTGACAACAAAGCAAATTTTTTCAAAACACTATTTTAAACTCACTGTTTCAACTCAAATTAGATTATATTCATTTCCTTATCATTACCCATGTTCCAGTATAAGGCACTGAAAATGCAGTTCAACAACAGTTTAAAGCTACTACTTTAGACTTTACTTTACAAATGTAGAAAACTTTAAATTTACATCCTATCCTACTGCCTTAAGCTTAATTCTCTCCCTCCTCTGTCTCTGTGCACGTTTACATCACAGACACACAAAGCTGCTCAGGGGGAGGGTAAGAGGTGACACTCACTTCCAGTTTGTATCTAACCAGCAAAAATCTGATTTCTCACTTCCCCCCTTTAAAAACTACAGGCAGCAGAGGCAGCACTATGCACATTAAAGCAACAAGCCACTATTCCCTCATGAATCGACCACAGCAACAAAAAACCCTACCATATTAATAGTAAGATGTAACTACAAGTGCAATCGCCAATGTTCAACAGTCATGTACTACTAATGTTAAGAAATAGTTATTCACATAAACCAGTCCATACCCACATGACCCTTTACTCTCCAGACCATGACAGCTTGAAAAAAACAAAAAACACAAGACTATAAACTACTAAACACTGCACTACACAAAGTTCACAGATTAAAAACCTCATAAACATAAGGCTTTAATAACTATAACAATAAAACAGCACATTATTAGTATTAATTTATTATTATCCTATTATTATTATTATTATCATTTATTCTTTTTATTATGTATTATATCTACGACCTCGCCTCCACCACCGCACGGAGGTACATACACACACACACGCCTCTACAGACGCAGTTAAAATACTCGCACTCACGCACACACACACAAAGAGCAGACCGCACCCAAAAAGAAAAAAACTGCGCAGTATATATTCAGTATATTTACAGTATATCTACAGCCTGTATAAACCTGTAATATAACCCAATATATATTTTTCTTAAACAAACTTATGTCACATTTGAACATGAAGCAATTTACAACACATATACTCAGCCTATAGTCAAACACACACTTTTGAGTCCAGACTGTTATATATTTACAAAAAGCGCTTTAAGTGGGCTTTCACTATACTTGGCCAAGAACCGTATGAACCATGCCAGGTTAACGTCAAAAATGATCAAATCTCAACCAAACCCAGCTTCATACCCCCCTCGCAGTTAAACTAATTCAATTTATTACTCTCCAAACTGTTAAGTACACCAAACAAATTTAACCGAAATGGTAACTGTGAGGACGCAAGTCGTCTGCTACTACAGATTGTCTTATAATTTCACCAGTCACCTTAACATATGATTTAGCTTATCTAAACGGTGTGACTACTCTGTGAGCTCCAAACGGCTGTAGACCCACTAGCAGTACAAATCTCGCTTTGCAGCCATATCATAAAGTTTTTATTTAAATCCCTACCAGACACTCTTATTTATTTATAGCTCACAATTTAGTTCTCCAAACTGGTCTGTCACTTAGCTGCTCCAAACCATAAGTTCTAACACCCAATTGGCTGCAATTCTCTAGTTTTCCTTAAAACAACAACAATAACCAGCACAAACACACAGTTACTTATTTACACAATGTTAGTAAATGCTATACCTTCACACACATACACACATTCACAGAGTGAGCAGCTCACACACATATCATACAGGAAGTAGGTAGCAGAACACACACACAAATAGAGCAAGGAGGCGGAGAATTACTCCCCACATACTCATTGTTTCACAAAAATAGAAAATAAGTCATACTCACCTCAGCAACACAGTAAACAGTCTGAAAACACATGAAATTGACACAAGGACAACAAGAAATTGCAATGCACACAATTATCAGTCATCCCTCTGTCCCTAACTCCAGACACACATCTCAGCCAATTACACGACACCAAACAAATATATGTTCACATATTTAAACACACATTAAAGTCCACACGTATTCACCTACAGAAAGAGCTTTAAGTGGGAATCCACAAATAGGACAAACCTCTGCTACACAGCCTCACCATCAAATGTAATCAGTTACAGACACCTTTATAACTCATAATTTCACGCTGTTCAATCCGCTGTCTGACAACTTATATTTTTTTCTGTCAATCCTAATAGGCTGTTTCACCATCACATAAACTTCAGACATGTAAAAACAACATCAATGTATCCTGTAAACATTTAAAGTAAGTTATTTACATCAGTGTTAGTAATGATGTTAATGTTAGTGATCACCGCAGTCTTCCATCACCTGTCAGAACAAATCAAGTTATTTGGTTCCCCTTCACACAAATTCTTGGAGGACAGTCAAGATAGGAGATTAAATTTAAAATTCTCCCAACTTATGCTCCTACCTGCAGAGACAACACCAAGGAGAAGATGTGAGATGTGAGGGTCTGAAACCAAGTCTCTAGATCTGCCTTCTTTCACCTGCGCAACATTGCCAAAATCAGGAGCATCCTGTCTCAAAGTGATGCTGAAAAACTGGTCCATGCATTTGTTACTTCCAGGCTGGACTACTGTAACTCTTTACTATCAGGATGTCCCAATAATTCCCTAAAAAGCCTCCAGGTAATCCAAAAAAGTCAGAGTACTGACAGGAACTAGCAAGAGAGATCATATCTCTCCCATATTAGCTTCTCTCCACTGGCTCCCTGTAACATTCAGAATAGAATTTAAAATCCTTCTCCTAACATACAAAGCCCTTAATAACAAGGCTCCATTGTATCATAAAGACCTCGTAGAGCCTTATCATCCAAACAGAGCACTTTGCTCTCAGAGTGCAGGTCTATTTGTGGTTTGTGGTTCCTAGAGTCCACAGAAGTAGAATGGGAGGCAGAGCCTTTAGCTATCAATTTGCTCTCCTATGGAACCAACTCCCAGTCCCACTTTGGGAGGCCAACACCCTCTCTACCTTTAAGATTAGACCTAAGACGTTCCTTTTTGATAAAGTTTATAGTTAGGGCTGGATCAGGTGACCCTGAGCCTTCCCTTAGTTATGCTGCTATAGGCCTAGGCTGCTGGGGGGCCCTCCTCTCTCTCCCTATGCTTCTATATGCCACCATTACACATCACTAACTTTGTGTCTCCTCTCTCCTGTAGTGTGTCCTCTCTCTCCCCCTGTACTTTTCTGCAGGTTGCCCTGGCTCTGGAACTCTATGTTTCACCGGCCACATCGACCTGATCAGTGTTTGATTGTTGTGTCTTGTTGCTTTTCTTCTTTTGTCTCTACTCTATCCACTCACCCCAACCGGTCTGGGACAAAACAAAAACCTTTGCACAGACTGCTGCCTCTGCGCTGCGCTGGCTACGGTTTCTTCTGTTAAAGGGAGTTTTTCTTCCCCACTGTTGCCAAGTGCTTGCTCAATGGGGATTTGTTGGGTTTTTCAAATATGCTGATGATCCAGCCATTCATCTGTAATCCTGCTAACCAACACACACGCAGACCTCCTTGGCAGAGGTCATAAGAATCCTGTTAAAACACATACCAGGGCAACATCTGGCATATAAATCAGATCAAGTACACTGAATATGATGGCAACAAACCATTATTATGTAACCCTTATTCAAATACTTTTAGTGACTTGTTGAAAACAAATAACAATTAATAACCAACGCTCATATGTTCATTATGATTTTTTTAAATTATGAGAGAAATATGACTTTACATTGTTCAACACACCAAGAGTGGGAATAAAACAAAACATTCTTACAAAATGTTGCAATAAATCAAGTGGAATGGTTTTTTTAAAACATTTGATTTGTTTTATACATAAGTCATTTACACATTTGCCATTTTTACATTGAAAGTTAAACTGTGTACCATTTTTTATAGTACAAACATGTCCTTCGTTTCAAAGCAGAGGTATAAGAGCTCTCCTCTCCGTCTTGAGAAGATGCTGGGTTCTACTTTAGTGCATTTCATTGTTAAGATTTAAGGCTATGCAGGCTTCACTTGATGGACACGTTTGTCTCATTGACAGGCCTATCAGCATCAGTGGAGGGAGTTTATTTTCCTGACTCATGCCCGCTGATTGTCCCTTACACAAAGAGGTTTATGGTTCTGCTGGGTCGCTCCCTCTAACCTTTTTTTAAACCCATTTTAAAGCTGCTGCTGCTGATCGGTTTCACTGAATAACCAATTACAATCTCTAACAACTTATCTGTTTCTGCAGTCAATTACAAATGTCATGGGGAAAATGCCACAGAATGTGGGAGCCCATGCTCATTACATTATCTCTGCACAGCAATAACCTGCTGTGCAAAATGTACATTCTTCCTGCTGTGCAAAATGTGCATTTTGCACAGCAGGAAGAATATTTAATAAAATAATTTTTTTTAAAAGCAATTACATACTGTTGGGTTGTTGTTATGTGAGGGAGGGAACACATTTAGTCATAGGTGTAGTGCTCCCTAGTAGTCAAAACACCTAAAACAAAAAATATTCCTCAGTTTCAGATTACACCAAATCCATAAACAAAGACATGAAGCAACTAATTGTCTGGTACTGTAAGCCTCTTAGAAAACACATTATAATACGCCAGCCAGGACATATAGTCAAATCCTCAACACAGACGGTAAGTTAACAAACAAGCTCTTAAACATGAGACAAAAGAGGCTGTAAGGCAGTAGTTCAATGATGCTGCTCTGTAATTCACTGGAAAAGGGCTTTTTTTAAAACTACTTTGCACTTCCTACCTGTCCTGCTGGTAGTTGTGTGGCCCATAGTCTGGGTGTAATGGGGCTAAAACACAGGCTAAAAAATTAAGACAGGCCACTCAGGACATCTTGGAAACATTACATAAAAGATATGAGCCCATTTCTAGTTTTAACACTAACACAGTGGAACCACAGCATCTTTTTTGTACTTGAACACACTGTATCACTTTGGATTATCATTGCATTTTATGAGCATCAGTGCCCTTGATCAAAGAACTCCTGATCTTTCATACTGATTAAAAAAATGCCTCAACATTATAGGACCAAAGTGCAACACTGATGAGTGCTGATTAATTTTAAATGATCAGAGGCTCAAGCAGCTTAGTCTTTAAACAGGAACACATACTATAACATCATTTGGTGTTTTGGAAATGCCCTTTCTCATTTCCTCTGACCAGCTCCTTTGTCCCGTCTCCAATTCTTAAAACCCATCAACTGTGTGCATCTAGAGTCTATTTGCAGAACTGAAAGAGGGAGGTTGAAGTAGAAAGCTGAACTCTTTAACAGACAGAAGCCATTAGTATGCTACCTGCAGAGTTACATGCAATTAAAAAAAGACGAAGGAAAGCCCCATCGTTGGCGCTCAGATAAAAAATGAAATGGGCTGCATAAAAGCCCACTGAAAGGCAGATAAAGCGAGGATCAAGTTAATATCCATCCAAGGCTCTAAAACACACTAAAGGATATGAATTGAGCCATTAGACACAGGGAGATATGTCTCAGTCTTTTCATTACCGTTACGCCTGGAAAAACAGATTCACACATCTGTGGAGAGTTTCACTCCAGAATGCAGATATCCATAATTCAAATAAATTAAAACCTCACCAAGAAACATAACTGATGGCATAATGTTGTTATAGAGGATTACTGCAGTTGTCACATGCCAGTTCCATTTTGCTTACAGACCAGAGACAACCTCAGTCAATGTTCCATCTGCTTTTCAAACAGTGAGCACAGGAATGTCAGGCAATGATTTTCTTTCAGTAGGAAATGACACACTAGACTTTTGTGGATAAAGTAATGTTGCTAGGACACATGTTCCTGCGTGGTTCTATCAGTGACGAAGATTAAGGATGAGGAGCTTCCAGTGCCACGTTGAGCTTGTTCACAGTCACATCTGTTTCCAGGTGACATCTGGAAATGTCTGTGTCTTTTCTACATATAATTAAAGCCACACAGAAATGACAAAACACAGCATACTGGGGGCCAAAACAGACATGAAAAGAGAAAGGCAGGGAAGGACACGACATGCTTGGTAGAGATTGTGACAGAATTCATTGTGAAATGCTTTTGTGACACAGAGCTGTCATAACTGTATAATTTGTCTTCAAAATGAAGAACTTCTAATGCCTTCTTTGGAAAAGGAAACAGCGTTTTTGGACAGAAAATACCCCAAATTGCACAGCTAATCTCTGTTCCCTATTTTAATGCACTGCAACTGTAGGTACATACTGTACTTGCACATAAAATAGAATCTCTAATATATTCTAGTTTACAGAAACTAAAAGAAGTGGTCTTTGAGTTAAAAATGCAAAAAAATACATATTGTATGTCTTCTTCTTGCATGTAATGTTAAACTGCTTTACACCATGATAATAAAAGTCTCTTCAAACTTATTTCAAAAGTGCAGGGATTCTGGTAGTACACTGCAGTATTAAGTCTGTAGATGAATGTTTTACTACTTGGGAGTACCACATTCTTCTACATGTCAAAATGACATGATGTGATGATGATGATGATGATGAGGAGAGCCACATCTCAGCAGAAGTAGATCTCTCCATCCAGAGGGGGCTCTGGGAGATGCTGGGGATCTGAAAGGAGGAGAGAAGAGTCAGTGTCACGACACCAAAGAGGAGTTCTCCTCTAAAGGGTCTGATTGCTGGTTTGTTTTAACATTTATTCTCCATGAGGGTTAAGTGAGCCTCGCCACCCTGCTTCACACTGATCAAACTCTTAGCACAGTGCACTCTGCCGCTATTGAGATCCACTGAAGAACTGAAGCTGCCTCAGTGAGTGGCTTCGTGTGTTGTGTTCGCTCATAGCACAGACATCAAACAGATTTCTCCAAATGTCTTTGTAGTTTCATGTTTATCTATGCTTTTCATATCAAATGTATTTTTATGCGACATACACCGTGTGTATCCTGTTCAAGGCGCTTCACAGAAGCATGCACAAATGCAGCACTAAACAAAACTTATACACAGGAATTACACAATTTTATCTCCTTCTCATACTCCTCATAAATTCATAGCCATGTGAAGGCAGATCCAAACTAGAGGCATCTTGAAACCAATAATATATCACAGTTCAATAATGTAACTCTCCCACTTTTAATAATGCAAAGACAAAAATCTAAGCAGGGTCTCTAATTTATACCACACGCTAAGTAGGTTCTGAGTATGTAGTGAGTTAACACTGGGGAAGTGGCAAAATAAAACTGAGCCAAAACATATCAACACTGAAAACACCTCAGTGTTTTGTGTGCACAGTATTCTGGACAAGCTTCTCACAAATTCTCTCAAATGTTAAATAATTGTGGTGGTGAAACAGCTGCAGACAACAACAAAAAAGGAAAAAATTTTTTTGAAATAAGCATTTTGCTACGTCATTTCCTGGTAATTAATGTAAGGTGTAAGAACGTTGATTTCTCACACATTCATTACAGACAGCAATACTATACAGCAGTACACTAGTGTACAGAACACATGTATTGGACTCAGTAATAGACTCCAAAATGACAAGACATGGAAATGGCTGGTGCCAGGACCCAGCAGAGACTGCTGCATACTACAGCGAGTGACCTGGGAGAGACAGGTGCATGTACATTCATTATGAGATAAGGGGGACAAATAAGATAAAGAAGCAGAATGATGCAAAGTGACATCACCAGCCTGTACACAAACAAGCTGATCAGACTAAGATGTGTGTTATTTATTATTCAGTTATTGCAGATAAGAGCTACTATCATTCAGTGTGTCTCATGAGGACTTAATACACATGGTTTACTAAAAATGTAATGCTGATTCTATAAGCTTTGTCATTGATTGTTTAGCAGAAATACACAATCGTAAAACACTAAACTCTCCACAACTGCATGCATCTGTGCTTAAAGCCATACATAAAATACAGATGCAGAGAGTGATCTATGAAGTATCCAGCACATCCAGCTCTGATTGCTTCTTCAAAGTCCTGAATCAATCAATTCTTTTGGAAATTCTCAGATTTTTAATAAAGTTGCAACATTTTTTTAAAACCATGTGCTCACTTGCCATTATGGGCTATTGAATGTACGTAGCTTAATGGGCAAAAAAAGATCATTTTATCAATTTAACATCAAATGTACAAAAACAACATTAACATGTGCACAGGGTGAAGGAGTCTGAACAGTTTCTGAAGCCACTGCAGCTGTGAATGAGGCCGACTGTGTTCATAAACTGATTTATTTTCAGCTGATAACCTAAATCTGTTGAATCTGACAAGTCTGTGGGAAAAAAACAACTGGACTCCAACCTGCTGATTCGCTATAAGACACTGAATAATTAAAGTGAATGCAAACCCATCTACCCTGTTCTACCTGTTGTCTGCGCACTCCCCCCTTTGCCCTTCTTCTTCTTCTTCTTCTCCTTTCCCTCTTTGCTCTTGTTCTTGGCCAGCTGCAGCAGGCTCTTTGAGATCTGGTTGTTGGCTTCGCTGCCCTTGATGTTGGTGTTAGTTGAAGATGAGGTGAATAGATGGAGGCCTTTCCCTTTGGGCTTAGACCACTGGGGCTGCAGCCTGGGCAAAGAGGAGGAAGAGGAGGAGCACAGTTCCAGCGAGTCCAGCTCCAGAGACTGGGGGCTGCCAGGAAACTGGGATTCATCAGATGTCACAGAGGGAGTTCTCTAGATGTGAAAGCAGAAGGTTAGACAGATGAACAGCTATTGTCTACAACTGTAAGTGATTATCTACAGTACAAAAGTTGCATATTTTAATGTGTTTGCAAGCATAGGAAATACAGTGGTGTGAAAAAGTGTTTGCCCCCTTACTGATTTCTTATCTTTTTGCATGTTTGTCACACTGTAATGTTTCAGATCGTCAAACAAATTTATATATTAGTCAAAGATAACACAAGTAAACACATCATGCAGTTTTTAAATGAAGGTTTTTATTATTAAGGGAAAACAAAATCCAAAACTATAGAGCCCTGTGTGAACAAGTGTTTGCCCCCCTGTCAAAACACTGGTTTATCGCACCTGAGTTCAATTTCTCTTGCCACACCTGTTCGCAATCAAGAAATCACTTAAATAGGACCTGCCTGACAAAGTGAAGTAGACCAAAAGATCCTCAAAAGCTAGACATCATGCCGAGATCCAAAGAAATTCAAAAACAAATGAGAAAGAGAATAATGGAGCTCTATCAGTCCGGAAAAGGTTATAAAGCCATTTCTAAAGCTTGGGGACTGCAGGTCTTCATTTTGTTTTTCTTCAGCCATTCAGAAGTGGACTTGCTGGTGTGCTTTGGATCATTGTCCTGCTGCAGAACCCAAGTTCGCTTCAGCTTGAGGTCACAAACGGATGGCCGGACATTCTCCTTCAGGATATTTTGGTACACAGCAGAATTCATGGTTCCATTTATCACAGCAAGTCTTCCAGGGCCTGAAGCAGCAAAACAGCCCCAGACCATCCCATTACCACCACCATATTTTACTGTTGGTATGATGTTCTTTTTCTGAAATGCGGTGTTACTTTTACGCCACACATAATGGGACACACACCTTCCAAAAAGTTCAACTTTTGTCTCGTCTGTCCACAGAGTATTATCCCAAAAGTCTTGGGGATCATCAAGATGTTTTCTGGCAAAACTGAGACGAGCCTTTATGTTCTTTTTGCTCAGCAGTGGTTTTCGTCTTGGAACTCTGCCATGCAAACCATTTTTGCCCAGTCTCTTTCTTATGGTGGAGTCATGAACACTCACCTTAACTGAGGCAAGTGAGGCCTGCAGTTCTTTGGATGTTGTTGTGGGGTCTTTTGTGACCTCTTGGATGAGTTGTCGCTGTGCTCTTGGGGTAATTTTGGTCGGCCGGCCACTCCTGGGAAGGTTCTCCACTGTTCCATGTTTTCGCCATTTGTGGATAATGGCTCTCACTGTGGTTCGCTGCCGTCCCAAAGCTTTAGAAATGGCTTTATAACCTTTTCCGGACTGATAGAGCTCCATTATTCTCTTTCTCATTTGTTTTTGAATTTCTTTGGATCTCGGCATGATGTCTAGCTTTTGAGGATCTTTTGGTCTACTTCACTTTGTCAGGCAGGTCCTATTTAAGTGATTTCTTGATTGCGAACAGGTGTGGCAAGAGAAATTGAACTCAGGTGCGATAAACCAGTGTTTTGACAGGGGGGCAAACACTTGTTCACACAGGGCTCTATAGTTTTGGATTTTGTTTTCCCTTAATAATAAAAACCTTCATTTAAAAACTGCATGATGTGTTTACTTGTGTTATCTTTGACTAATATATAAATTTGTTTGACGATCTGAAACATTACAGTGTGACAAACATGCAAAAAGATAAGAAATCAGTAAGGGGGCAAACACTTTTTCACACCACTGTAGTTTAACTGTGTTTAAAATCAAACACTTTATCTCTACATATAGGTTTAAAATGAAAGCCTGAAAATATACCTATGGCATCTGGATTTCTAGTTATTAACATGCAGAACAATGATCTTTTTAAAAGTCACTTTCAAAAGGACCCAGGTTCAAGGCTCCAATGTAAGCATCCATAAGCATCCACCCCACTGTTGTGTCACTGAGCAAAACACTGAATATCCCTCCCAGCTCAGTGAGCACTCCTGTGTACACAAGTGGCCAACAGTTTCTTCTGGAGGAAGGAACAGATTATGTTATCATAACCTTTATGAGTGCTCACCTCAGCGAGATGGATCTCCTCCATCTTGTTGAACTGCTGCTGCACAACTTCTCTGTCCCTCTCCAGCTTCCTCTGGGTGTCTCTCAGCCGCTCCAGGTCTTTCTGGTACTCCTCCTTCTTACTCTGCAGCTCCTGCTTCTCCTCCTCTAGCTCCTTGTACTGCTTCTGTAGCTCCTCCTCCTGCAGTGGTTGGAAGGTGGATTGATGGATTTACTGAAATGTTACAGGCCAAAGATACTGCAGGTTTTCAGACACTGAAAAGGAAGTTACTGAAATCTCTGATATCTGAGACTGAATGAATGAAATCTAATGTGTCCTGGTAAGGGACAGTAGGGAATTATTTAAAACTCTTTGATTTTTTTTGTTTAATGTTCTTGGATATATACTAGATAATACTGGACAGCACTGACTTGTCCGTTTTCAATAGGCTGTAGGTTTGTCAGAATAATGGTGTGATAGGCTAAGGCCCATTCAAGCCTAAAATGAGCAAAAAAGCACAAACTGCAGTTACCATACTTCTGTACCTTGTTGTTCAGGCAATTACAAGCCATCTTCTAAAGCCAAGAACCTGAGATAGCTGGCTTGGTAAAATCTGCTTTAAACTAATCATTGGCCTTTTATAAGACACCTTTGTACTCCAAATTCTTTGCGTCCTCTGTTTTGATCATGCAGCTTTGATCTCAGTAAAGCAGAGTTGTGGTAAGATGGCTGTGGTACTTTGAAGGATCTTCAGTCAAACATATATATTTGGCAGCCTGCCATCACTACAGAGCGGTGCAGGAAACCATGAGCTCCTGGCACAAAGTTACAATAACATTTGTCAGATAAAGTACAGTACAAGGTAAATAATTGTACAACTGTTCTAATAAAATGACAGGGGTTACAACTGTATAGAAACATAACACATGGAACAAGTAGGAAATGATGCAGAGTTACCTGTATGTGCAGCAGCACCTCCCGTTCAGTCAACTGCCGTTCCCTGAGTTCCAACTCCTTCTCCCTCTTTCTCCTCTCCTCAGCATGAGCGGTCTGCTGTCTCTGCAGGGAGGCAAGCTCCTGTCGCTGCTTCTCCAGGCTGCGCTGCTTCTCTTGTTCAATCAGGGAACTGGGCCGTGAGGACGACCGTGATAAAGACATACAGGAGGAGGCGCGCTCACTCAGGGCCTGTCGCTGGTCCTCTATGAAACTGTCCTGCTGGATGACCACCGCCTGGGATATATAGAGCCAGAGTCCAGAGAGTTTAGGTCAAACACATCCTTCCTGGTACTGTGTGGTATTTGACCAAGTCTTCCAGATATTA